TCTTTTTTTTTTTTTTTGTCCTTTTGGAGACCGGCCACCCCGCACTCAGCCAGTGAGCGCGCCGGCCATCCCTATATAGGATCCGAACCCGCGGTGGGAGCGCTGCACTCTCCCGAGTGCGCCACGGGCTCGGCCCACCGGTCATCTTTTAAAAAAAAAAAAACTGTTGTTTGTCCCAAACTCCCTAAGAGTATCAATGATTTAAATAAGCAATATGTGTAAAGCATCAAGTGAAGAAACGCATGCCAGTGTTTTCTTCTTCCTCAGAATTGGAAGCAGCTCTGAGCTGGCTTTGAAGAGCACTGCTGCTTTTCGATTTTTGTTTTTAGTGGATGCTTTTGGAGCATTCATTCCTCAACTGTTGATTGCTTTACTGAGGCTGTACAGAACCCTGGGCAGGGTATGGAAAGAATATGAAGAAGAAGTCCTTGCTCTTGGGAGACTTGTTGAGTTGGCAGATCACACACACCCACAGAGCTAAATAGTAATGGAGGGGAAGTTACTCCTGTGTGAGTGTGTTGGAGAAGAAATATGGAGAAAAATGTGCTGACTTTTTAGGGAAGTATTGCCATGGGGTACCATGGTCAGAAAACTCCTGGCTGAGTAGGTGGAGATTCCGAGCCTGGGTGTAATCTTGGCCGTCCTGCATAGAAGAAGGACTCAGGTTTAGAAGAACAAGTGATGGCTTTGGCATATAGGGTTTAGGCTGTTCTTTTCAGGGTTTTGTATTAAAATCCTGCAGGCAGTGGAAGTCTTGAGGGGTTTGTGAGTAGGTTTGGGGACATAACTGACGTGCTGTGCAGGTGCTTTGAAGGAAAAGATGGGTAGTTTGGACATCTGCTAGGAGCCTTTATAATAATGATCAGAGAAGAAGATAACTTTGAAAACTTAAGTTGCCTTTTAGAAGTGATTAACTCAAGATGGAGGTAAGGGCGTTAGGATGTGGAGGGATCTCAGGAAGAAGGGACAGCCCTGTAAGCTGTTTCCAAAAATCTGTCACCATCAATCTGATGTAGCCTAATGAACTGTAAGTTTGGCCAAGAAACAAAATGGCAACATCTAGTGGAAAGCTTTCTTGAGGAGACATTGTTTTTCTTTTCTGAAAATTATGAACAGGAAATATTTGTAGTTAGCAGGGGCAGACATAATTATGGGCACAATGAGGGCTTGCGGAGAATGCCTGCAGATGGGGAGGGAATGTACAGGTGAGGTGTGTTGTCATGAAAGATGAAACTAAGGAACATGGCCACCCCTAAAAATAAGAGTAGAGGAGAGAAGAATGTGGAGAATTAGAAGAAGGAAAAGTTGAGTCCTGGGAAGAGGAAGAATAAAATAGTACATAAATGTGGTGTCAAAGTGAATCGTCAGCATGGAAGTAGGAAAGGTTGCACGGAGCTTTTCTTCATGTTTCTTTGTAGAGGTTTCTTCTCTGTTTCCAGCCAGGGGCTGTGCAACTTCAGAAAGACAGAGTCCTTCAGGTAGCTAGCAATTCAGAAAACAGTCCTTTTGGGCAATAACAGAAATGCACAGGGACAAAGCCAAAAGGTTTGTTATTATCCATGATTAATTTGGGGCTGGAGAATGTTTTGTGTTTTGCTTTTTTTAGTCCACTCTTTGTGACATGGAAGACAGGGCGGGACAAGCGGCTTCGTGGCTGCATTGGGACCTTCTCAGCCATGAATCTTCATTCAGGACTCAGGGAATACACGTTAACCAGGTAATGACACCATATGTTAAGAACTTTAGATAAATTGGCTAGAATCAGAAACAATTGCCTGACTTTATTTCTTCTAAGTGATACATTTTCAGTGTTCTCTTTTTGGTACTCAGGAAATGTAAGGGCTTTTAATCTGGTGAGTCACTTATCAGTTCAAGTACAGACAGTGAATAGCATCCAGTTGTTTTTAACATATTAGTGTTGTGGATAATAGATGTCCTCTGCATACCTCAGTATTCATAAGTATGTGGGCTCTATGATGTGATAAAGTGGGCCACATGCTGTTGGCTCCCAACTTCAGAGCAGCCTCACTTATGTTTTCTGTCCCCCTCCAGTGCACTTAAGGACAGCCGATTTCCCCCCCTGACCCGAGAGGAGCTGCCTAAACTTTTCTGCTCTGTCTCCCTCCTTACTAACTTTGAGGATGCCAGTGATTACCTGGACTGGGAGGTGAGAACAGCTGCATTTGGAACTCTGCATCTCTCGTTGCATTTGGGTTCGGGTTAGTACATGGTAATGTATCTCCTTCATTGAGAGAGGGTATAAGAATGTGAAAGCTGAGTTTGTAATCAATTGTGGGCAACATAAGTGACAGAAAAGGGCTGCTATATTAGGAGTAGGAAGAAATGTAAATGTAAAGACTTTCTTCCCCCACTTCTTTCCCACTCAATTCTGTTCCACATCATTTTCCAAAGTCTAATAAGAAATAATGGGGGGGCTTGCCAGTTAGCTCAGTTGTTTAGAGCATGGTGTTGATAATACCAAGATCCAGGTTTGAGCCTTGTAGTGGCCAGCTGCCAAAAAAGAAGAAAGAAAGAAAGGATGGGCTAAAAGAAAATATTCAACATCCCTCTTGGCAAGCCCTTGAGTAAAAGTTTTTATTAGGAATCAGATATGAAGAATCATGATAAAAACCTTATGGTTTGTTAATTTAATGGAATACAGTGAAGGTAAAATATTCAAAGTTATTGGACGAACTATTTAAAGAATTTATTTTTATTACCTTCATATTCTCAGAGAGGTAGCTACACATACACTCGACCCTTCGCTAAAGTTGAACTTTCTTTGGCCTCTGTACTTGAAGAGAAAGTCATGAAAAGCAAGAAGTTCTCCTTTTCTCAGACCTGGGTCAAGCTGGTCAGGAAACACTGTTGATTTATATGTGGGGACTGAAGCTCCATTAGGATAAGTAAGTTCCATTTACTTGGCTGTGTTTTTCTGTAGGTAGGGGTCCATGGGATTCGAATTGAATTCATCAATGAAAAAGGCGTCAAACGTACAGCCACATATTTACCTGAGGTTGCTAAGGAACAAGGTGAGTTGGACAAATGGGATACCATTCATAGTGGTATCAATTAAGGGGCTAGAAAGTGCAATGTGTCATCTTTCAGCCCAACTGCTACCAAAAACAAGTGCCTCTCTTTCTCTTAATACCTGTCAAATTTCTATAGAATGAGGGGTAAACTTCCAGAAAGATCTGGGAACTGGGAAAAGAAAGGGGAACATACTTTCCTTACTTGCCTGCTTGTTTCAGACATTTGCTTTCAGTGAAGAGTTTTATTTCTTGGTTGCTTAAACTATAGTGGTAATTTTAGCAAAATTCCAGTGATCAACCTGACTATATCATAGAGCTCATTAATAAGGCAAGTTGCCTATATCAGTGGGTGTTGAGCTTCTGATCACGAATCATTAAAACACATGGGTAAGGGCAAAACATAGTTCCTACTGTTTTTAAAGAACTCAGTAGCTAAGAAGTTTTTATACCAGGGACATTAAAGGTAGGAAGTGGGTTGGGCAGATTTGGATCCCCGTACCAGCCAGCCACCAAAAAAATATATATATCTACAAGAGTACCTTTAAATGTTGGTTGTATTCTGTGATATGTAACCCAGTTTTCTTTCATTCTTGGAATTAGTTTGTTTTTGCAAATAATATGTGAAACGCAGTATTTGTTGGATGTAAACCTGGAATAGAGAAAAATATCCAGTTAAGTATATCAATTAACTAATTATGTGGAAAGCAATTGCCTTGTTGGTTTCCATTGCGGTGGTAGTTAAACTTTTTCAAAAGCAGTGTGGATGTAGCATAAAAAGGAAATCTTTTAGCCACCTCTTTGAGATCATAAATCGAACACACTTCTTTACAAAGAGGCATACCATAGTGTTTTTTAATGATGAGATTAGAATGATAACTTAGGTAAATGATCAAATTTGCCATTTGAAAATTGGTTGGAAAATAAAATATTTGGGGCACCTAGTATAGTAATTTAGAGAGTTTTCTTTGGTTTTTCAATTTGATATTTTTTAATCTGTTAAAAATTTGCAAGAACAACACAATGATATATGTGTGAACAACTTCCCTGTCCTTCCTAAGGGAACACCTTCCTTCCTGCTATCAGTTCTTTATCGTAGAAAACAAGACTCCTAGAAGTTATCAGACTGAAGGAGGGCCACACAAAGGAATACAAGCTGCCGAATTTAAATTCCTCTCTTCCCCCAGAGCAGCCCCGGGTATGAGCGCTATGCTGGCCAACAGGCTAGTCTAAGTTGGGACCAAGTTTGTTCCTAGATAATTATACTGGGGTAACATCTGACAGGAAGGACACAGGAGCAGGGAGCCTGGGACAGCCATTATGGCATATTCGGGCTATTGGCTCATGTCTCAGTCTCTACTGGACTGTGAGTGAGGCAGACCAGTCTCCAGGCACATGGGGGCCAGTGCCTCAGGCTTCCTCTGTCCCTAGCACTCTGGAATCACATTTCTCTTTTTGCATTGGACATATTAGAGCATGTCCCACTCTTGTGTGAGTGTGCACTGACCTCACTGTGGCCTCTTCTCCTCAGACTGGGATCAGATCCAGACAATAGACTCCTTGCTCAGAAAAGGTGGCTTTAAAGCTCCAATTACCAGTGAATTCAGAAAAACGATCAAACTCACCAGGTAAGCCACTGTCTCATTTTCCTTGTCATTTTAATGTAATTGGGGTTGGATGGAGGATACTTTTGTTGGGAAGAAGGAAAAATTTGTCTGCTAGTGTCCCTAAACCAAACAAGTGTGGTTAAGTTTAAAGTCTGAGGAAGCAGCAGCAGCAAGAGCAAAGACTCTCCCAGCCTCCTGTGCTTCTCCACAGCCCCGCCGAGCACAGGGTCGGAGCAAGGTTTAGGCCTGCTGAGAATGTTGTGGATGTCTTTGCCACACCTACTTGGCTGGGAGGCTGAGGGGGAAGACTGAAGTTAGGAAAGAAGGCTTTCAGTGTAGAGGTCCAGGGTCAGCTGAGTTGCTGCTTCCTGACAACACGTCAGGCAGCAAAAAATTCAGAAAGTCAGAAAACTCTTTTTACAAAAAGTTAAAAGGAAATGCCTCCCCTGTTTGGAGGGATACTTCTGCAAGGAGGTTGCCTAGTGTGGTAGAATGCACATGGACTTAGGGTCTGAATCCCAGCTTGACCACTTACTAGCTGTATGACCCGGGCCAGTTATTCCACCTCTCTGAGCTGGTTTCCTGCCTGTAACATGTGAATGATAATATCTTACATTTTAGGATGTGGTATGGTAATGTGTGGAGAATTTCTAGCCCGGGGCCAGGCAATGTTGTAGGTGATCAGTAGATGTCAGTTCTCTACCCATTCCTATTGAAATCGGAAACACTGAGAGGTTTAGCTTCTGTGGGCTTCTATAGGCCTCTTTTGGGCCCCTCATCTGTAAAATACTGAATTATCCTATACTAACCTCACAGGTCTGTTTGGAAGATAATCCAGTGTTTTTGAAATGCTTTGGATTCCAAAAATTTTAAAAAGAACAACAAAAAACCACTTCAAATACAAAGCATTATTATTATTATTATAATTTATTTGAACAGCCATTTCCCTGTCAAAATTCAGGAATAATCACCTTGCAGTGGAGAAGTGATTACAGTGGGAAAGAGATGGCTCTGGGTAAGGATTGTCACACCCAGCTCCTGTGGTCTGTAGTAGGCTCCATAGGTTTGTAACACCCCATGCTTCGCATCCTGACTCATGGCTCTTTCCAGAGCAAAGCCAAAGTCCTATGAATTCTGTTCTGATGACCCTGTGATATGGCATATTCATCTGGGGATTGAGATCTGTGCTATATAGCTCCAAGGACCCTTTAACCTGCTTCATCAGAATTGACCCAAAATTAGGTATCTGTAACCCTTTTAGTTATAATAATGTGTTTGTTGCTCTTCTGCAAGTTGAGGTTTCATTTCTGTCAAATTTATCACATTATAACCTGAAAATAGATATGTAGTTTATACTGGGTTTTGGTGCAGCCATCTTTCAGTCTGCCACCCGTGTAATTTGACCTTGAAATTCTTCATCCAGACCCCAGTAGCAGATTGCTTACAAGCAGCCTGATAAGCGTATTTAGTGTTTAAAGGTGGGATGTGCTGAAATACATTCTCAGGGGTGAATTGTGATTGTGCTTTTTCATCTTGTTCATTTGTAATAACACTGTTTTCTTGTGCTGTCTTTCATTTTCTGTTATATTGCTCTTGGTCTCCATTTTATTCTTTCAAAGTGTGGAATAAGCTTTTGGTTTTCTCTGCTGAGTGACTTTAGAAAATGAAGTGTTTGGAGTTCCTGATACCCTTTCCTGTTTCCTTATACAGGTACCGAAGTGAGAAGGTGACAATCAGTTATGCAGAATATATTGCTTCTCGACAGCACTGTTTCCAGAATGGCACTCTTCATGCCCCGCCCCTCTACAATCATTACTCCTGACACACGGCTGCATGACCAGTCCCACCCCCCTGTGGCCACCAATGGCTATGACATCATTGGAGCAGATGCCTCCTCTTCCTGGTCCAGTTACTTCTATTACTGCACCATTTTATGATGCTAGCTTCCGTTGCCAAGCCTGCCTCCCACTGACTGAGGGGTGGGGTGGGGTTACACTGAATGAAACAGAACTTGAGGGGCCCAAGCCTTATTTCAGCTTTTCCTCAATATGGGGTTCCGTTGGATTGGGGCTCCTCCATGACTAGGAGAATTACTGTGTGGGTTCAGAAGACTTTATCTGGTGATTTGCCATATGTGTGTTGGCCACACACTGGAAGCTGGAATTGATGATCCATGAAGGCTTACCCCCCACACACCACTTCAGCCTCCCCAGATCAAGTAGGTGTATTCCCCTGGCAGTCTGGGCAACGGAGACCAACAAGAAACATTTTTAGGTTGTTTTAAATTCCTTTTTTTAAACTTCCAGTTTATTGCATACCAAGAATTGATCACAACCTCCATACTTCATAAATGGACGCCATGTTAGGGTTGAACGTGGGCACCATGAGTCCTTTGAGGCTCCTGGACAGAGACCCACTTCAAGATCGGAAGCCCTTTGGATGGCGTTGCAGATCTCATTGCTCAATAAGCCGTGAAGGTTTTAATTCTCATCCCACTGTCAGTTGGATTTTCTGGCACTTACTGCATTGAGTCTTCTGGTATTGAACAGAGCCCTGTGGTGTAGCCTGCTGAGGAATGGAATGGAGATGCCCACGGGAGGTCCTGATACCATTGCTACATGCAAGTGTGAAAGGAGAGACCTTTTCCTTACCACCGGCTACCTCACTCCTCTACTGGTAGCAGTGCCTATAGCTGGATCTAGGTTCTCAGAAGCATTGATGTGCAAACAAGCAGTTGGGTTGGGCTTTAGGAGGCCACATGATCATAAGAGAGAATCCAGGGTCTCCAAGTTGGTTTTCTTTCCCGGCAAACATCCCAAGGGACCTTGAAGAAGGGAAATTCCTTTTTCTGGTTTGCCTGTAGAAGTGGGAAGGCTTGATGTTTCAGTCCTTTACACGACTTTAGAACAAAGCTGTGTAATTAAACAAGGTGAATCTTTATCTTTCCTAACATGCTAGGAATCTTCAGCCCGCCCACCAGGGCAAAATTCCAAATAGCTCATTTTATTCTAGGTCATTCAAACTTTCATGTGACATATTTCCCCCTTCCATTGTTGCTGATGTCCAAATAGCTGTCAGCAAGTTTTTCCTCCCTCCTAACATGCTAGGAATCTTCAGCCCGCCCACCAGGGCAAAATTCCAAATAGCTCATTTTACTCTAGGTCATTCAAACTTTCATGTGACATATTTCCCCCTTCCATTGTTGCTGATTTCCAAATAGCTGTCAGCAAGTTTTTCCTCCCTCTTGCCTATCTTAACTCATTTGGTGGCAAAGTTGTAGAACTAGGGGACTTGGAAGATGCTTTGAAAACATTGTCACAAAGGCACTGCTAAAGTGATTCACAGGGAAGAGGTGGCCAGTTGGAAGAAAGGATCCTAAGGACGATACACTGGTTTTCAACAACATGCTTAGAGAACTCAAGGTGGATTCGGTGACCACCCAGTGAACATGATGTTTTGATTTAACTTATTTTTTAAAGTTTATGTGATGGTGGTGTGGCTTTCCGAAATGGGCAAATACTCAAGTCAAAAGATCTTTTGAGTTTTCTTCTGCCAGGTTTGGGGTGGGGGGTGGGGAAGTGGGGGCACAATCTAAGAAAGGACGCATGCTATTTCTAGGCATCGCTGTCAAGTTTCTTGGAAGGAATGGGTGAGGTGAGGGTGAGTGGGTTTGCTTGGCACCGTCCTGTGCTGGTCTTGAAGACCTGGGACGTGTGAGGAAAACGTGGGTGACATCAGGGTGCCTAGGCTGCATCCCCCCCTCACTGCAGTGCTGGGTTCTCGCAGCCTGCCACGTTTCCCTTGCAATGTAAATGAAGATGAAGGGGTCGTTTCATGATTTCCTGCTGCTGAGAATAATAAGTGTCCTGTTACAAATAGATGTGGCAACAGTTCCTCTTAGGTGCCACCGATTGATGTCAGGGTGGTCAGCTCTGGACTAAACCACCCACCTTCAGTTTGTGCAACAGTATTGATACATAGGGCTACACTCATTACTGTTCAAGTATTCTATGTTAAAAGTTGTATTTAATTTCTAAAGGTTAAAAAAGCAAAAAAATTGGTGCTAAACTTTCACCCCTGAGCGCGCTCAGTGAGACTGGTCATGCAAGCATTTACAGTGCCATGCTCCTCAAGCCTATTTTTTCTTGTAGAAATGTTGCCCTATTTGTCTTCCCCAATGTATAGTACATTTTTAATTTTATTTTATTGAGGGTGGGGTAGGATACCTGCCATTTAAGAAAATGAACAGAAAATTTAAAAACCCAAGAAATGGGAAAATCAGTGCACAAGAATCAGGCTGGTTAAGCCCAGCACTACACTGAAGTGGGCTCAGTGGTTTTTGGCGTGAAGAAGGCTAACTCCCTGCACATTCCCTTGTGGTCCCACACAAGTCTGGCAGTGGAAGTGCTCGAGTTCCTCTTGATGTAAGGGGACTCAGGAATTGATCAAGGAAAATTATTCAGCCCCAGAAGGGATGGGCACCGTCCGTCCATCTTGAACAGGGCCTAGTCCAGAAGCAGCCTGGAGTGTATAGTCATGGTCACCTTGTGAAAATGTGTGGCAGGTGGCTCTCAGGAAAAATACCAAGTTTGGATCATCCATGTGGCAGCTTTGCATAGGGAGATAACAGCTCTGAACTGGAACTCAACTGCCTTCCACATGCTTACCAAAGCAGTGATGAGGGTGGCCAGTACATGTGTGACAGTGGTGGGCTTAAAGAAAAGGGAATGTTTTTTGCTGAGTGTTTCTTTTGTCCTTGGGTTGCTCAAGCTGTACAGTAGGTAACCACTGTTTTCAAGGAACCAGCCCAACCTCGCTGGCTTGGTTTGGAGTTCGTTTAATCCCTAGCTGTGAGTGCCTTTTGGTCTGGAAAGTTGGCTTGTCTCATGATACCCACAGCTAGGACATTCTCTCTGTAATTATGAATTGTCTTTGTTTTACATTAACTAAAAGAGAATGTCTTTGATCACTAGAGTTTGTCAGCGTTGGATTGTTTCCACTGTGAGATTCTTAAACTTTTTCTCTTCATAGTATTAAAACAACTCATGTTAGAGATCTTTTCGACATGAAAGGTTTGTAGTTGAGACATTACATATATTTTGTTGTTTATAATAAAAATCATCTATACGAAAGAAGTCCTGGGTGTTAATTTTAATATTTTCCACAAGATCTTTTTTCCATGATATGTTATCTACAGTTTCACTAACTGTTGCTGTTATTTTCTATTGGGATTCTGGAGCCTAGGGAGCTCTTTATGTGTTCTTTCTGTTTATTTTTGTTCTTATTTCTCTGAAGCAAGAGACTGTATGGCCTTCAGTGCAAAGACTTCAGACCAATTCTTTGTATTACACTTGGTTGCCTCTTGGCTATATAACTTCTGAGTGCAAATCATTGAACTCTTTAATGAAGTATTGTAGAGAATAAATCATAATGGGTAAAAGTTATTCTTTGTCCTGCCTCTTTTTTAAAAAAAAACCATGTGACTTGAATTATATGGAATAGTGGTCAGTTTTACTTTCGATGACAGCCAACCAGATAGTATTCAGTTAACCTGCCTGTTTTGTGTGGTGCTTATGACCCCCTTTGTACTTGAATGTATTTCTGTGGTTGGTGGCAATGCCACTGTTTTTTTTATTTCATTTCTTTTTTTTAACCTAGCATGGAAGTACACAAGGTAGTGGTTCTGAGAGGTAAATCCAGTTAATGTATTCACCAGATACCATTGGTAGTCTGGAAGTGGGAGGAAGGAGGGGATGATGTGGGAATCGATCCTGCTACCTCTTGCATGCTAAGCGAGTGCTCTACCACTTGAGCTAATTCCCCTCTGCCACTGGTTTTTTAAGAGTCTCATGCTCTACCGACTGAACTAGCCTGGCGGCAGTCCACCACTGACTTTTTAGAGCCAAGTTTCCCGAGCTATCATCCATAAACACTTAAAAGTTTGGATTTTTCCAGAAGGTTCATTTTCATATGAAACTGACCTTGCCAAAAAAGCTAAAACTCTGAAAGGGGGGGGGGGGACACGCTCAAATTTAAGATATCATTTGGTGATGTTAATTCAAGCAAAGACCCTGAGACATAACTGGTGTGGTCTGACCTAACCAGAAAAGTTTGTTCTCTGGGGATGGCCCAGAAATGATGATAAGGGTTTGGAGAAAATGGTAGAGTCATTGTTCAAACACACAAACTTTCACTTACTGGGATTGTCAGTCTTCAGCTTAAGTTCTTATTTTTAGGGAGGTAGAATCTTGACAATTCTGAAGCCCTTGCGCTTGGCAAAACTCAAACACATGGCTACAGATAAACATGCTGTCAGGGTTAGGTGATAAATTTTACTTGAAGGACTTGATTCTGAACCAATACTGTACAAAGAACCAGAGTAGTGTCCTGAGGAACATCATGCAAGTCTTATACCGTTTTTTTTTTTTTTTTTTTTTGTGACCGGTAAGGGGATTGCAACCCTTGGTGTGGTGTCGCCCGCACTGCGCTCAGCCAGTGAGTGCACCGGCCATCCCTATATAGGATCCGAACCCACGGCCTCGGCGCTCTCAGCGCCACACTCTCCCGAGTGAGCCACAGGGTCAGCCCAGTCTTATCCCTTTTGAATCTGTTTTCCTCACGATAAAACGAAGCTCAAAGATTATAGGGTCTCTTCCTGCTTACTTGCTGCCTCTACACATACAAGTTCTGTGTGCCGTAGCAAATTGAAAAACAAGTGACCCCTTTCAATTTCTTTTTTCTTGGCGGCTGGCTGGTGCAGGAATCCAAACCCTTGACCTTGGTGTATACTACATCACGGAGGAGGAGAGAGGTCTGAAGTTCTCCCAGTAGTCATTCAAGTCCCTGCCACCAATCAGACAGGCCATCTCCCAAACCCAGTATGGCATTCTTTGATCCCACCCTGGCTCCCAACCAAAGAAATAACCCAGGGCGGCTGACAACTGGAATCTTCACAAGCTGGCAGTCCAATAGGCCTACGCTCAAATCTTGGTCCTACCATTTATGAGGCACACAAGTGTTACTACTCTGAGCCTAATTTCCTGCTTTGTTACAGAAGTGCAAATCTCCAAGGTAGCCTGTTGGAAATACTTTGCGTAGGCTCCAGCACACGGTGCAATGGCTGTGGTTATCTGGATCATCATCCAGTGCTGGGTGTAGATAGGAACAATGGGGCAAGCATCAAACCCTATGGAACCTTAAGCTTCTTGGCATGAGAGAGGAGGTGAAGCTCAGCCCTCCAAGTCAGAACAGGCTTCCTGAGAGAAATGGATGCTGAAGTAAGGCAGCATGATCTTGAGGAGGGAGGGCTTCTAAGGGAGAGGCAGACAACTTTGCCAGCACAGCATGACAGGGTGGACAAGCCCTCTCAGGTCACACTCCCAGGGACCAGACAGGCCTGAAAAGTCTAGGACTCTCAAGACAACCTTCTGGAGGTCTTCATATCTGTATGTCAAGGGCTCTTGGCAGAATCACACAAAACCCCCATAGACTCCATACCTTTCTTTCTCTAGAGACTGTATCAATAGCAAAAGTGAGAGGGTTACATGTGAATGGTACACAATCATCTGGTACCTGTTTGTTCCTTTGGCTTCCTTTGTAGTATTTACCAGCAGACTGCCAACAGCAGGTGGCAATTTCATTTATTTATTTATTTATTAATTATTATTTTTTTTAAAGATGACCGGTAAGGGGATCTTAACCCTTGACTTGGTGTTGTCAGCACCACGCTCACCCAGTGAGCGAACCGGCCATCCCTATATGGGATCCGAACCCGTGGCCTTGGTATTATCAGCACCGCACTCTCCTGAGTGAGTCACGGGCCGGCCCTTCAATTCATTTTTTATTAAATCAACAGTTTACATTATGACCTAAATATTGTTCACTAGTGAGCCAAGAAGTGCACTATGATTATTTCCTTTATTGTACAACCTTTTGTATTCTCTGGAGTTGAACACAGCATCATTTTTCATTTGCTTAATTTTCTACGTATCACCCAAATGTTCCAACAGATGTGTTACAGGCCTCTCAATATTATTGTCCACGTGCTCAGAAG